GGAAGCGACGGTTCGGAAGGGAAAGGAATTCGAAAAACCCTTTGTGGACGTGTTTGACCTGTTGGAGGCAGCGATGCAGGTGGCGGAGACGCTGGAGACATTTGTCCACGAAAAAAAAGGGGAGGTGGGAGGCAGGAGGCCGGCAACAATGAAGGGGAATGACAAGGAAAAGGCGGGTGGGGAGGTGGAAAGAGCTGCGGCCAACGGGGAGGATGACGCGGACCTGTCGCTCTCACGGTGTAGTCTCGACTGTAATCAAGACGAGGGAGCGACGATGCCTTTGGGGGAGAGGTTAAAGTTGCTGGGTATCGCTTTCTCCATCCAACTAAACCCGGCCCATCACCCGCAGCGGGGGGAAACGGGCGCGCTGCTGGCCTGTCTCTATACCGTGGCGACGCGCCTAAGCCAGGAGGACGTAGCCGAGCGCGTGCACTCCTTGCTCGCCCAGTACCACTCCCACTCCGAGTCCAAAAGCCTGCGGCTTCGGCTATTGCGCGTGAGCCAGATTCGAGGTCCCTTGGAAGGGCATGAACGCGTGTCGAGGCGTGCAGCCTGCCCTGGGGAGGACACTGATCCCCTGATTAGTACGGGTAAGGACGCTCAGAGAAGCGAGAGGAGGAGAAGCGCGAGTTGCAGCAGCAGTGAGAGCAAGGACTCAGCCGGAGCGGGGATGGTGGGAGGGTTGAGTGGTGGTTTTAGTCCGGTCGGAAGGGGAGGAGACGGAGGGGAGAAAGGGGAGAGAATGCTAGCTAGGGCAGAAGAAAGGGAGCGAAGCAAAAGAGAGTACCTGGAGCAGTTCAAATTCTTGAAAGAGCATGCGCAGGATCTAATTTTGAGCGACGATTTATGAAGCTGATGAGATTCGATAATCGCATCACGATGTTTAAGAACAAAAGAAAACAAAGCGGAGAAAAAAATGAAATACAAAAAAATATAAAATTTTGAGCTACAGTCTATCCCGTGCACGCGCGTGATCTCCTTCTCACTGATACCTGCATCGACATATGCTAACCTCGTCCAAGTGGACGACAGTATGAATCACAATTAGTCCCTCAACCAGAGCTCTGTCGACGTTATTGATCTTGACCTAGCTACGAGCTCTAAAACGCGAATGAGCCGTGTAATTTGAGATATGTTACGGAACAGTCTTCATGCTCGGGCCTTTCTGTACTTGAAAATCCAGATGTCTACCTTTCAAGTAATTCCTAGTTTTTAAAAGATGTGGAATTTCGGAATCTAAGCTTTAAAAGGAAAGAGTGTTTTTTTGAGGCTCATATAATTGCCTGCAAAGCAAGGAGGTTATGTCTTGGAATTTTAAGAAAGGAAAGGAGACACTCACCACCGAATCTTTTTCTCAAACCACCTTATCAGGATGCTTTAATTATGCTTTCATATAAGTTTTGTGTGCTAAAACCATTCGGTTGGAGAAGGAAAAAGTGTTTATGAATTTTGTACTCTCATCTTGTGGCCTACAAACCTAAGCTATCATTTCTTTGACCTGTGATCCGATAAACCTGCATGTGCCTGCAACAATCTTTTGTACTGCGTCTTATTTTGATGTCATTTCCCCCAAAAAACACATGAATGCCCGCAGTAGAAATTAATTTGTCCAAAAGGCAGTTGTACTTGAACTAATCGCTGGTGATGCGAGCACGGTCCCTCTGGCTTGCCCTCCCCGTCTTCCGGTTCCTTCCATTCGTCCCCCTCAATAAATTCTTTGTCCTCTTTGGGTCATTCACGCATGCCCGTTTTGCCAGCAAGGCTCCAACAAAATGTCTCTTGGCCACATGGCACGGTGTGAGTATGCGCACGATCTCATCCTGGGAATTTTCCTTCCTTTCTCGTGTACCTCCCCTCTCGTTCTGGCCTACCCCAGGCACGGCTAGCGGTGTAGAGAATGCTCCTGGGGGCCTCCAGCCCTCGAGAAGGCAAGAACTTTGAGTGAAGAAGGGCCATATTGCTATTTTCGCGGGGAAGAGGTCTAGGGCAATGGTAAGGGGCAACTCGCTCAAGATGCCCCGCCCGGTTCTACTTCTCGCCTTGGTTGCCTTAGGCTTGCTGCATATCCCGACTCACGCTGAGGCCCGACCACCCTTGGAATCCCCTCAATCGTCCCCTAGCATCCATTCAGATGCAGCACGAATGACGCATCGCAATGCTGCCGTAGGAGCTGCAGCGCATCGGATCCGAAAGTCCCATGTCAAAAAAGTGGAAGGGAGGACACCGACGATTGGCGGCTCTGACGTAGACGAGGATACCCCTCTCCCTGTCTCCACCATCCCAGCTGGCTCAAGCAGCAGTTTGGATTGGAAAGGTAGCCACAACGAAGGTATCAGCAGTGATTCTACGGGGGTGGACCGGGGCGAGGCCCCTTACATGCACGTGGTCAAGCGGGACGGGCGAAGAGAGCCGGTGGCCTTCGACAAGATCACGAAGCGCCTGCGCAGCCTTTGCAAGGGTCTGAATACAGACTACGTGGATCCAGGCCGTGTCGCCCAGAAGGTTGTTCAAGGCATGTATAACGGCGTTTCCACGGCCGAGCTTGACAATCTAGCGGCGGAGACGGCGGCCTACTTGAATATCGATCATCCCGACTACGCGCGGCTCGCAGCCCGTGTGTCCGTCTCCAACCTGCACAAAGAGACCAATCCATCGTTCTCGCAGACGATGCGCCAGCTCTACGACCATGTCGACCCCGCCACGGGTCACGCTGCCGGCTTCATCTCCGAGGAGGTGATGGCGCTTGTCGCGGCCCACGGCCCCACCCTAGACGCGGCCGTCCGACACGAGCGCGATTATTTCTTTGACTATTTCGGCTTCAAAACCATGGAACGAGCCTACTTGCTGAAGATCGGGCGCAAGGTGGTGGAGCGCCCGCAGTACATGCTTCTGCGCGTGGCCCTTGGTATCCATGGAGAGGATCTGCCCGCCGCCTTGGAGACCTACGAGCTCATGAGCAACAAGTGGTTCATCCACGCCTCCCCTACTCTTTTCCACGCGGGCACGCGTTTCCCGCAGATGTCCTCGTGCTTCCTCCTGGCCATGCAAGCGGACTCGATCGTTGGTATCTACGACACGCTGAAGCAGTGCGCCGTGATAAGCAAGGCGGCGGGGGGAATCGGCCTCTCGGTCCACAACATCCGCGCGCACGGCGCCTACATTAAGGGCACGAAGGGGACGAGCAACGGTCTGGTGCCCATGCTCAGGGTCTTCGACGTCACGGCGCGCTACGTGGACCAGGGGGGAGGCAAGAGGCCAGGGGCCTTTGCCATCTACCTGGAGCCGTGGCACGCGGACATCTTTGAAGTGCTGGACCTGCGGAAGAACCACGGAAAGGAGGAGGCGCGGGCCCGGGATCTCTTCTATGGACTGTGGATTCCCGACCTGTTCATGGAGAGGGTGGAGGAGGATAGGACCTGGTCCCTCATGTGTCCCGATCAGTGCCCCGGTCTCGCGGACTGCCACGGCCAGGCCTTCCGGGACCTATATTTAAAATACGAACGAGAGGGCCGAGTCAAGAAGACAGTGCGTGCTCAGGACTTGTGGTTTGCCATCTTGGACTCGCAGATTGAGACGGGCACGCCCTACATGCTGTACAAGGACGCTTGCAACCTGAAGAGCAACCAACAGAACTTGGGCACCATCAAGTCCTCGAATCTGTGCACCGAGATCGTCCAATACACGAGTGCGGAAGAGGTGGCGGTCTGCAACCTGGCGTCGGTGGTGCTACCCAAATTCGTTGTGCAGAAGGCGGGGACGGGGGGGAAGGACGACGGACAGGCCGCAGACCTTACCGCGCAGAGAGGGAAGAGGCCAGGGAGCAAGTCTAGACAGGAGCTGACATTCGACCACCAGGCCCTCTACAATGTGACCAAGGTAGTGGTGCGCAATCTGAACAAGGTCATCGACAGGAACCTGTACCCAGTGCCGGAGGCAGAGCGGAGCAATCGGAGGCACCGGCCCATTGGCTTGGGCGTGCAGGGCCTGGCCGACACCTTCATCAAGCTTCGCCTCCCTTTCGACTCTCCCGAGGCCCGGCAAACGAACCAAGAAATCTTTGAGACCATGTACTTCGCCGCCTCCGAGGCCTCCATGGAGCTTGCCAAGAAAGAAGGCCCCTACGAGTCGTACCCGGGGTCTCCCGCCAGTCAAGGGAAGTTGCAATTCGACCTCTGGGGCGTCACTCCCCAAAGCGGCCGGTGGGACTGGGCAGGTTTAAAGAAAGAGATTGCCCAGCACGGCCTGCGAAATTCCCTGCTTTTGGCGCCCATGCCCACCGCCTCCACGGCCCAGATCCTTGGGTACAATGAGTGCATCGAACCCTACACCTCGAACTTGTACGCACGGCGAGTGAAGGCAGGAGAGTTCATTGTGGTCAACCCGCACCTCTTGGAGGATTTGACTGCGCAAGGGTTGTGGACCCCAGCCGTACGCAATGCCCTGGTGGCGGAGGGGGGATCCGTTCAGAACATCCCGGGACTGCCGCAGGAGATGAAGGAGATCTATCGGACGGTATGGGAAATAAAACAGAAGTCATTGATCGACATGGCCGCAGACAGGGGCGCTTACATCGATCAGAGCCAGAGCCTAAATGCATTTATGGCGGAACCCGACTACAGCCGACTGGTGAGGGGGTGGGGGGAAATTGAGAGCTGGGGAGAGACGTGTGAGTTATACAGCCGGTAGTACAGGTTTTATGGGGATGATGATTCCAAGGTTATATTGAGGTTTCACTTGGGCCTAAAGCGTTCTGGCTCGGCCTGTATCTCACCCACTTCCCTCTCTCGCTTTACATGTTGTCATCAGACGAGCATGCATTTTTACGGCTGGAAGAGGGGTCTCAAGACAGGTATGTACTATTTGCGAACCAAGCCCGCAGCAAACGCCATTCAATTCACCGTCGACAGCCAACCGGTGCTGAAGAAGAGGAGGAAGAGTGGAGGGAGAAAGGGCGCAGTGGGGGAGATGGGTTCAAGCGAGGCAGGAGTGGCGGGTGGCAAGGAGGATAGTGAAGAAGATGGTGAAGACGAGGACGAGAATGGAGGGACTGCAGGGGCTTGCGGCGATGACGTGTGCCTTTCGTGCCAGGGGTGAATAGCGTGAGTAGATATTCGAATTATTCTGGGACAGTAAATGGTACGAGCCATGGAAAGCCCCTGATGGGACGGGCCAAAGTAAAGTACGCACGTCCGTTGGGAAGTTGTCGTTACGTCATGTGCAAACCTAAAAACACATCAAGACGCGCAGAGATCGATCCTGGTGTGTGTCCCTCATGTCCTTAGTTTGCGAATGAAAGTAGAAAATGCCAAAGTAAAACATATTCGAATACGCTTTCCATGCTGTTCATTCTCCTCCATCTCCCAAAGGTCTAAGGTCTGCGCATCAGGGAAAATCACTGTCGTCCTCTCAGCTCTCTTGCACCTGGCTCGTGAAATCGAACCCCTCCGTCGAACGAGGCTGTGGCTAGCTCAGGTTTTAAGGGATTGAAGGCCACGCACGACACCACGTCTGTGTGCGGGGGTGGCAGTCCCTTTACTTCCTCCTCCTGAGCCCAAGCCAGGGCGCACTGCTGTTCATTCTCAACTCTCTCTTCCCCCTCATCCACGTCGCAGGCCTCAACATGATCGAAGCCCGCTCTCATTGTGGTATGGACTACCTCACGTCCCTTCCTCAGGTCGTACATGTACGCGTTCCCGTCCTCGCTGCCCACTCCCAAGAAACGCATGCACGGCGAGAAGGCCACGCCCACTTTTTCTCTACGATTCACATGATCCACAAAGGAAGCGACCTTCGCCGCGCCTGCTCGCAGGTCCCACAGCGAGGCCGTATTGTCGGTGGCAGTTGTCGCAAAGAAGTCAAGGGCGCAGGGAGAGAGGGCGGAGGATGAGACGAAATGCGAAGCTTGCGGCACGGCCAGAGAGCGGACAGGCCGAGCGTGGGCATCAGGGACGACACGCATGAAGCTGCCCTGTGCGGCATCAAGGAGGGCTAAAGATCGGTCGGAGCACGCGGTAAGAACGAGAGGGGAAAGGGTCCCGTTCAGACAAGCGAAGGCGGTGACCTGCTGAGCGTGGTCATGCCTCCAAACGTGGACCGTCTGGGTCGTACTCTGGGGAGAGGGAGAAGCCGAAGCCTTCTTCACAGACTTGGAGGAGCTGGATGGATTATAGTTATGACGGATTAGGGCGTGCTCGTCCAAAGGTTCGACGAGATAGGTGTGCATCGAGAGTTGATTACGACAGGCCGTGAGGACAAATTTGTCAAGGTAAAAAAATGCTGCGGACACCGCCATTGAACTTGAAGGGGCTTGTGCATTAGCTGACATTGAGGCTGTGAACGATGTGGGCGCACTTTTCCAGCCACTGCGCCTCTTCCCAGAGAGTCCCGTGGTTGGCGAGACAGGACCGATGGGTGTAAGCAGGTCAATGCTTAGAACAGGTGTCGACCGGTGACTCGGCACGTTGCCAGGCACGTTGTGTGCTACGCCTAAGGTGAATATATGCGCCATTCCGTCGCCTGAGGCAGTTAATGTAAGCTCTTGACTATGGCTAATCGCAACAGAATTTGTGGTTGATTTGGAAGAAGAGAAGAAAAAACTTTGACGACGCCTATGGAAACTTCGCAGATCAAAGATCTGAGCCGTGCCATCCATGAAAGCCAGGCCCAGCAAATCACCTTTCCTGCTAAAGGTCATGTCGAGAACGGGAGAGTTTGGCGTGTTTGAAATAGGAGCAGGAATATCCATCCCGGAAGCATTCCACCGGGGAAAAATGGACGGATTATCATCGGTATCTATGGGATAGATGGGGAGTTCAAGATGCAAGGATGATCTTGAAACACTTTTTTGACATGTTTTCACATGTGACACTGGACGTCTTCCGTAGCCCGATGAGATAATTCGGGAATGGAAAACTATGGGCTTGTTCGTAACTCTTTTGTGGCTTGGTCGACAGATGTTCGTGCCTTGGAAAGAATCGTAGGCCAGCGTTTTTGACAATGATGAAGCAGGACATTGACGTCGAGACATTGATATTGTCGATCGTAGCGGTGAAGATTCGACTAATGGTGTGTGTTTACTTATGGCACCTTCACAAGGGAAGAACGAAAACATCTATATGGGCGTACACCAGTGCTGTGGGTGTTTGTGCGTCGCTGCATGCGTCAAAATAAGAGAAAACTAATAATTAAGCACATTCAAAAGGGCCATATCCTTTATCTCTTCCTATCTCACTGCACACTTTTTCGGAGTACTGGGAGTTTTGCCAGGCGGGAAGGGGTCCGTGTAGATAACTACCCGGATGTACCTCGTTCCTTCCCTCTAGGCCTCCCAACCGGTGCACAGTCTGTTCACTTTCGTGGTTGTGGCGGGAGCCATGCCTGATGGCACATTTGCGTGTCACAGCGTGAACACAAAAGTGAAACCAGAACGTTTTTTGCACCCACTTGCTATTCCAGTTGTATCTTTGGCTTGGCTTTTGCTGATCCGCATTCATGACACCCTGGCGTGCATACAAATGCTGCTGGGCTCGACTCCAGCTTTTCCTCTCTTCACTTCCCCGCTCATTTCATCTACTTTATTACTCATGCCCTCAGGCGTACGCCGCAGGCTGCCCGATTTCCACAAATTGATCCATCACCCCGGATTATGGACGAGGTAAGACATGTGGTAGAAGTCGATAGATATTTGGTTGAATAGGAGCAACGAGTAAAGATACGCTTGGTTGCAGCACGCCTAGTGGTGGGTGAGGCTAGCAATAGCCCATTCTCCACAAGCCACCATCCAGTGCATTGCATCGAACTCTATAGATCATACTCTGATAAGGTGACCAGCCTCTCTGTGCAGTGCAGAGTTGTAGGCTTTGAAATCTGGAGCAGGTCAGAGTCCAAATCGCCGCGAGAGAGCCGAGATAACCCTTATCCCCGTCCATATCCTTCTAGGCTCCGCACGACCATCACCATGCGCATCACCACCACCTGCATGAAAATTCATTGCATGAAGACGGTGAGGAGGACGGAGACGGGCTGGAGGAGGACATGCTACACCAGCACACGCGGCACCACCACCCTTTCTCCATGGAAGGCGTCGTGGAGGAGGACGAGCAACAGCATCATCACCAGTCTCTCTTGCCCGTCATGGAGGGCCCGGCGGAGGGCAGTTGTCTGAACGGTCCGCTGGGAGAGGGCGTGCACTCGGAAGCAGAGGATGACGAGGGGGGAGCAAGGGGGATGGGTGGAGGCGGAGGCACGGAGCTGCAGGGAGGAAACGGGGAGGGACGCCACGGGGAAGAGGAGGAGGAAGACTTGTCGGGGGTGGTAATTCTGGCGGATGACGGAGAAGGTGTGGGGGTAGCGTGCGAGAAAGGGCAGGAGAGGGGCCTTGGGCGGCACCCCCGGGGGCTGGAGGGGGGCCAGGGAGGCGGATCCACGGGTGTCAGCCTGGACCGCAGCCCCGACCACCACCATCAGCAGGAGGAGGAGGTCGCCTTCTACCCGGACATGGGCCAGACATCCCACATTCTGACGGAGGGCCGGGGAAAGGCAGGCACGGAGTTGCGACAGGAGACGCTGCCCCCTCCCCCCCCTTCGAGCGAGCGGCCTCTGCGGGACTCGGCCAAGGGCGCAGAGCCACGCCCGCAGGGGCCGCCGCGGGGTACACAGGCGAAAGAGCTTCCTCCTTCCGGCCCCCTTAGCCTCTCGAGTCACCCTCACTTCCATCCGTTGACCATGGCGGCCGCGCAGGAGCTGCACGTGACATTACCGCACATGCTACTGCACCCTCCTCCCCCCCTCGCTCACCACAAGCACGAGCACCCGCAGGAACAACAAGCACCAAAAACCTCGGTGCCGTCCTCTCTTCTGGGGTCGGCGGCGCCACACGGGGAGGACGGGAGGCAGAGAACCCGGACAGGGGAAGAAGGGGAAGACGGAGGTGTAGAAGCTGGTGGAGACCTCGCTCCTTCCCCCCTGGATCCCTCCCACGGCCAGGACGAGCACCCGCACCACGATCTCAAGATGGAAAATACCGTCCACATCGCTGCTTCTTCCTCTAGTGGACAGCCCACCTTCTTCAATGTCCCCTCTACCGCGCCCTCGTCCTCGGTCGGCCCGTCCGCCCCACCTCCTATGATCGACATGACTCACACCGCCGGGGGCCCGGCGTTTCCGGCTCCAGCGCCCGCGCCGGGACAACGGCAGCGGAAAGCCAACGGTCCTCGGGGCGCACCTGGTGCCGCCAATGCCCTCAAAGGTCTGAAAATGGGGTTTTGCACAGCGGACGGATGCAAGAAAGTGGCCATCTACGGGAAGGAAGGCGCCCGCGCCGAGTTTTGCAGCAAACATCGGAACGAGATGGAGGGCATGGTGGACCTGATCAATAGGAAGTGTGAGGCGGGCGCAGGCTGCCAGAAGAGACCGCACTATGGGTTCCGGGGACAGCGAGCCCTCTACTGCAGCGAGCACCGGCAGCCGAAAATGATCAACGTGACCGGGAGCCTCTGCGACTTTGGCGATTGTGTGAAGCGGGCTTCGTACGGATGGAAGGACCCTGCGGACCCGGGCAAGAAACGCCGGACCCGCTGCGCCGCCCACAAGGAGGCGGGGATGGTGGACGTGGCGCATCGCCTCTGCGAGGAGCCGGGCTGTCAGAAATCGCCCTACTACGGCTACCCGGACACGAAGCGGGCGCTCGTCTGCGCCGAGCACCAGCGGCCCATGATGGTGAGCATGTCGCGCCGGTGCCACGTGGAAACCTGCACCAAGCTCCCGTACTACGGCTACGAAGGCCAGAAGGCGGCTTCGTGCGCCGCCCACAAGAAGGACGGGATGCTGGACGTGGTGAGTAAGAAGTGCGCGGACCCGTCCTGCCGGACCCAGCCTTCCTACGCCTTCCTCGGGGAAGCCCCCCGGCATTGCGCCAAGCACCGCCTGGAGGGGGAAGTGAACGTGGTGTCCCGTCGGTGCGACGTGGAGGGATGTGGGAAGGTGCCCACCTATGGCGACCCGGGACTGCGCAAGCCGGTCCGGTGCCGGAACCACCGGGAGGAGCGCCACGTGAACGTGGCCCACAGACTCTGCGACTTTCCCGACGGCTGCTTGACGCAACCGTCCTTTGGGTTGGATGACGGAAAGGGCGCCACCCGGTGCACGAAGCACAAGGAGGAAGGGATGCGAGACATGAAGAGTCGTCGGTGCGAGGTGGATGGCTGTGTCAAGAAGCCCCTGTACACCCACGGGGGGGAAGGAAGCGATGGTGGCCGCGGGGAAGGGAAAGCCGTGCGGTGCGCGGAGCACAAGGAGGAGGGCATGGTCCCGGCCACCTCTCGGCAACGGAAGGAGCGGGAGGGGAAGAAGGAGGTGGCGGGAAGCGTGGAGAGCACGGGCGGGTCCTTGGCGCCCAAGATGATAAGCCTGGGTGCGACGGAGGCCCCGGGCGTGTCGGTGGCGGCCTTGAACCATGCCAGCGGCGGGAGCAAGCCCGGCGGGGAGGGAGGGGAGGGGGAAGGCGCGAGCACGGCGAACTCCATCCCCCCCTTGCCCTTGGTGGTGGACGGGACCCCGAACAGTGGGCCGGGGATGCCCTCGGCGTTGTTGCCTATGTCCGCGTTGGAGGAGGCGGCTCTGGCCCTGGGTGAGGAGGGTGGAGTTGGGGAGAGAGGAGGTGCAGGGGTACGAAAGCGTCCTAGAGGGGGGAAGACGAAGGTAGGGAGAGGCGGAGGAGGGAAACGGCGGGTACGGGAGAAAGGGCAAATGGAACAGCACGAGGAAGAGGATGAAGAGCATGAGGAGGAGGAGGAGGGAGGGAGGCAGGAAGGGGCTGTAGGGGGGGAGGAGGCCGCAGGCATGGAGGGAGAGAGCGGTATCAAACCACTAGCTGCGACCGGGCCCGTCGAGCCTCAGGATGAGGAGGCTGCGGCCCTGTCATTACAAGCGATAGGAGTGGTACCCACGGCTATGAGGCAATGGTTGTAAAGAAAGATGTCGAGGATGCTTGTGAAGCGTGTGCTGTGACGCATTTCGGAAAAGAAAAAGAAAACACATCGAGGCAATGCCATGTCAAAATCATGCTTGTCTGCCTGGCTGACAAAATCTTGGCACTCGTTGAAAAGAAAGGGAAATCGCAAAAACGAGACTGTACTTCGTCCGCACACATGATCTCTCATGGCCAAGCCTGTGTGTATCCCGTTGCCACTAGAACAGCCTACACCAGATATGGTCCTTACGTACACCTTGAATCGAGAATAAATTAATGAAATTGTTGAAATGACTTAAATCACACATACAAACCCCTACAGCATTGCGGTTGCGGGGTGATGGATCCGGGCCTCACGAAGACTGATCAAGAACGACGAGCGTCATCTTTTTAAAAGTATGCTTGCAACCCTGAACAAATAAAGGATGCTATAATGTGACGATGACAAGCTCATGGCTGACGCCCCCCCATGAAAGACAAAGCTCGTGAGTTGTCGATCAGATACGCGGGGTTTGAAGCATATTAGAATACCCGGCAACCTTCACACCCGGCTCCATCTGCGCCCAAGCCCTGCCTCTCTACTAGCACGACAGCACATCCCCATCAAGCTTCATTTCTCTCTGACGCGTATAATCGTGCTCGGGGCCAATGGCGGTCCTATCGAAGCTCCACTGGAGCCCTTGCACGTCTAAAACGAGGGGAGAGGTGTCACTGCTTGTGCGAAGCAACCCGCGCCGAGAATTTCATGGCTGGACTCCATCATTCCTAATAAATCCCATACCACGAATGCTTGCGTGGACATTGAAATATGTACACAGGCTTGAAAGTCATGGCAACAACCTTGTCCGCCAAGCGTTTGCGGAAGGAGCTCATTGCTTTGCAGCGGGACCCCGTCGAAAATATCACGGCACGTCCTCTGGAAAGGTAGGATGGCACACAGGATCCTCATACATGTTGAAGGCAATTAAAACATTGAGGTGAAGAGCGTGTCAATGCAGCGGAAGACATTTAGATTTACAATGTATCTCATCACCTGGCCTCGAAGGTCTACCGCCTCTAATGTCGACGTATTGAACCTTTGTTTTACACCAAACCACGCCCCCCCACCCCCCCAGTAACATCCTCGTATGGCACTACGTGTTAAAAGGCGCTAAGGGAAGCCCGTACGAAGGCGGCTACTACCATGGCAAACTTAAGTTTCCTCCTGAATACCCACTAAAGCCGCCATCCATCATGATGCTGACTCCCTCTGGGCGCTTCAAGCCTAACACACGTTTATGTCTGTCCATGTGAGTGGCACGCCGCTTTGCTGCTTCCTGCTGTCGCAATCCTCCCACCGGTCATTTTCCTTGTCCACAAGTTTGCAACACCTCATAAGCCATGCTTTCTTCACATCCCTTGCCTCCCGCCTGGTCGTTGTGCACTGAATTGTCTCCTGCCCTGCCTTCCTCCCTCCCTCCCTCCCTCCCTCCCT